CATATCTGCAGAGAAATACAGGAAGGGGAACTTAGTAGCTCCACTGAAAGCATCTGGCTAAATTTAAAGGGAGCAAAAAAATAAGAAAACAGTTATTGGCATCTATTACCAACCACCCCGTCAAAAAGAGAACAAGGATATTTTCGAAAGGCAACTTGCCAGCATTTCCAAGAACAATGTAGTCATCATGGGGGACATCAATTTCTCTGATATATGCTGGGAGACAAATTCTATCAAGCATGGCCTGTCCAAGAGATTCCTCACATGTGATGCTGACAAATTTCTCCAGCAGAAAGTAGAAGACTTAGAGGAAAAAGAAGATTCTCAAAGCACAACTACAAACAATTCCATCAAGAAAAAAGTGTAAAAGGGAACGGAGGAAGACCACGTGGCTCCACAAAAAGTTAAGTGACAGCCTAAAAGGAAAAAAACATGTTCAGGAAGTGGAAGCAGGGTCAGGCTATGAAGGAAGAATTTAAACAAATGGGAAGGAATTGTAGGTATAGCATCAGAAAGGCTAAAGCAGAAAACGAACTGGGAATAGGAAGGGATGCTAAGCACAACAAGAAAGTCTTCAGGTACATCCAGCACAAAATACATGAGAAAGAGAAGGCTGTCCAGCTACTTAAAGTAAATGGCAGAGTGATAACAGATGACAAGGAAAAGGCAGAGGGGCTCAATTCCTGTTTTGCCTCAGTGTCCTCCCACAAGGAAATCTGCAATCAAGATGAAGTACAAGCTGGAAGTGAGAGATGGCAGCCCAAGTCTGACAGACAAATGGCCAAGGAATATTTAGGTGAAATAAACACATTCAGATCTCCAGGGCCTGATGAACTCCATCCAAGTGTCATGAAAGAGCTAGTGGAGGAACTCTCAGAACCACTGGCTATTATCTTTGATAAATCTTGGAAAAGGGGTAAGTGCAAGACAACTGGAGAAGGGATAATGTTGCTTCTGTCTTCAAAAAGGGGAAAAAAGATGAACCTGGGAACTATAGACCACTTAGTCTGCCATCAATCCCTGGAAAAGTTCTGGAGCAAATTATTAAAAAATCCAACTGCAAGCATCTTGAAGAAAATGCAGTGATTAACAGAAGCCAGCATGGATTTATCAGAAATAAATCCTGTTACACTAATCTCCTTTTTTGACTGGGTAACCTCCTAAATGGACAAAGGGAACACTGTGGATGGAGATAACTAGTGGGTGCCACAGGGTCTGTCACAAAGAGGAAGGTCAAGATCTCTTCTTGCTAATGCCAGAATGTAGGACACGGAATAATCAATTCAAGTTGCGGCAACCCAGATTCAGGCTGGACGTCAGGAAAAGCTTCCTCATTGTCAGAGCAATACAACAGTGGAACCAGCTGCCTAGAGAGGTGGTGGGCTCTCCCACACTAGAGACATTCATTCTTTTTCTTTTCTAAGAAACTCAAAGCAGCTTATATCAGTCTCCTTTTCCTGCTCTCAATCTTATCCCCACAACACTTTTGTTAGGTAGGTTGGACTGAGAGTATGTGACTGGTCCAAAGTCACCCAGTTGGCTCCATGGCTGAGTGGGGACTAGAACCCAGATCGCCTGAGTCCCAGACCCATGCTCTTAACCACTACACAACATTTGGCAGCATATGCTGATGTTTTAGTCATGTCCTGGGTTTTTATTATTACTGATTGTTTGAAACTGCTTAGATAAATCATGTGTCTTTGTGTCTGTTTTCCATTTATAGTTTTTATACTATATATGATCTATTTCAAAGGGTTTTAATCTATGCAAACCACCCAGAGGTTCATAAAAGTAAATAAATTGAAAGAAATGCACTCTGATATGTGCTACATACCCCAAGTGCACTGCACATGTCTTGATTTATAGAAAGGGGGGAAGAAAGGAAAAGTGCCACAATGAAGGAGGAAGAAGAACTGAAAGGGGAGAGAGATCCAAATGGGAATGAGTGCAGGCACCTCATACTTGAAAGTCCACAATCTGCAGCTGGATCCAACTGGGCAACATATGTATTGAATAAGCACTGAAAGTGTACACACTAATCTCACCCATCTAAGTAAATTGCTCAGGCTAAGAAAATCAATTGATTGCCTGTATTTCCAGTCCACAGGCATGTGCATACTTCAATTTCAGCAGTACTTCAAAAATAATGAGAAACTAAACGCTTTGTTGTCTGGAAGTAAAGGGAAGTAAAGGGAAATCTGTGTGATGCTGCCAGAAATGAAGGTGGGCAGAGGAATATTGTTTTGATCGCAAATCCATCATTCACCTTACAGACCCAGAGTAAAATGTATAGACAGCAATAAGGCAACATGAAAGCCACTATAAATACAATTTAAACAGATGGAGGACACAATTCACCACAGGTGAAAACAACATGATAGCATCTTTCATGGGATCTCAGGGCACAGGTTGACTGCAGGCTAAACATGAGTCAGCAGTGTGATGTAGCAGCCAAGAGGGTGAACACCACCCTTGGTTGCATAGCCAGAAGCATGGCTTCTAGATCAAGAGAGGTATTACTGCCACTCTATATGACTCTGGTGCGCCCGCAGCTGCAGTACTGTGTTCAGTTCTGGGCCCCATTACAGGAAGGATATAGCCAAGTTAGAGTCAGTTCAGCATAGGGCCACAGGGATGGTGGCCAGATTGCAGGGAAAGCCATATAAGGTGAGACTGAGGTAACTGGGTCTTTTCAGCCTGGAGAAGTAGAGACTTTGGAGAGATCTGTTGGTGACATATAAGTATGTGAGGGGGTGTCACAGGGAGGTAGGTAGAGACCTGTTTTTCTCTGCAGAGGAGTACAGACTGTGTTTCAATGGATCAAAGCTCAGGGAACCATGGTTCAGTTTGGATTCCAGGAAGTAGTCCTTGACAGTTAGGACCCCAAGGCTATGGAATGGGCTTCCACAGGAGGTGGTTGAAGCCCCAATGGTCAGGATGTTCAAGGATAGGCTGGACATACACATGGTAGGCATGTCATGAGTGGAGCCAGGGGTCGGGCTAGATGGCCCAGGAGGCCCCTTCTGACTCACTCTGCTTCTATGTCTATGTTCTATGCAGCTCAAAAGGCCAAAGTAAAGGCTTGTCTTGACTTATCAATGGACTATGTACAATGAAGACATCAGACTGGGAAGGCCCTTTCATCCCCCATCTCTATAGTCATTAACAGGCCCTCTTCTGTGATCTTAATACCAGAGCTGATCTGTAGGAGAAGCAGCACTCTTTCAGGTATTTGGGACCAGGAGCAGAGCTTTGTGTGGAAAAGCTGTGAGTTCATTCCTTCTGGCACTCCCAACAATTTCTTGGACTCAGAATTCTTTCATTCTAAGGGCATGTCCTTTGTAGTGGAATGATTGAATGGATAAATGAATGGTCATATTTTAAGTGAAGAAACTGGGAAAACCTGAAGAATGGTAAGGAGCATGATGGGACTAAAATGACTCTGAGTTCCCAGATGAAGAACAGCAAAATGCTGACAGATTGTATGGTCACAGTACTTGGCAGGAAGTTCCCAAGGATACCTTATGTAAAGAGTACAAGTGATAAGAGCATTCCAAGGGAAGTGAAGCAATTAACCAGATGAAACTGGACAGAGAGTTCTGCTCTAGAGAGCAAAAAGCTCAGATAAGGTATATAAAGCATGGCCTTTGCTAGTTCTGTGTGTGCCAGACTTGTCAGAACTGCAACATTTGGTTGCATATCACTCTATTTGAGACTTACCAACTCAAAGTGGGGTTTTCCTGGTAAGAATGAAAGAATGCATGTTAGTGTGAGTGAGGAAGAGTGATTCGCCTTTATATTGTTGTAAATAAAAGAGCTCTTAATTTTCAAATCCAGTAATGGATGTCTGTGTGTCTATTTCTATCTCCATTCTTTGAGCTCTGAGGGTGATAAGCTCACTCCTGAGAGTGAGCTCAGGATTAAAACAACAAAAGGTTCCATCTGTTTCCAGGCTCCAGTTCTGACAGAAACAAAAACCAACATAGATTTCACAACCCTGAACTCAGTCCACACCTGGCCTACTGGGAAGAACCACAGTACAGCAGGAGAACCTGGATTCGATTCCTGACAGCGCCAGGTTTGGCTTGGGAAGAATCCTGCCTGAAGCCTATAGAATCTTGCAAGTCAGTGTTTATAATAATCTGGCAGGGGTGGCCAGAATTGCTCAAGGTAAGAGCCACATACAGTAAATGTTTGAAAGCCGCAAGCAGGTGCCCATGGGCAGTGGCAGTAGGGGGTGGTATGCGGCAGGCAGCGAGCTACGAAATAAAAGAGGGTTGCGCCTCCCAGCCCTCAGTTTGACCACCCCTGCTATATGGCTTGGCTCAGTATTACATTGTATGCTGCGACATAAGAGACGGTGAGCAATCTAGGAGGCAGGAGTCAATTCCTGCCCTAGCTTTTGACGCACACTTTTCTTTAAATGCTTGAGTTTCTGAACCGGGTAAGGGAGCTCCTGTAAACGATGAACTCCAATGAGCAAGGGATCCCGAGACAACCTCTTGCTTTTCTCAGATAACCAGACTAGACCAGTAAATAGGCTACCTCAGCATGGAAACATGAGATCACAACAGTAAATCAAAGATTAATCAGAGAAGAGAGGCGACTCGCCTAGTGGGCCCACCCACCTCGTCTCTCATCCAATCGGAAAAGAGCCTACTCGCAGACCAATTCAAAGCAGGTTCTGTTTTGCCACGGTCTCCAGCCAATCAAGGACAGGCAGCAGAATATACATCTCTATATATAGAGGAGTTCGAAAATACAGTGTGTGATCATAACTGGCCTGATTTATGGAAGCTTTCTTTGACTAACATCAATATTCTATCATTCTTAATAATACCCAAGCTTCTGCTTTAGCACTGCAGCAGCCACAGTGCATAACTACTTCCACGACCTTTATTCAAGCTTCCTTTTGCAAATGTCTGAAAGACTCGAAGGCGTGGCGAAGACAGGTTCTAGCAGCCAATCGGGGCAGCTTGTTCTCTCTATACGTCACAATCCCTAGAACCTGCAACAGCAACAATAACAATAATAGACAGGATCCCTCCCTCGAGGCGATCTGCAGGGTGGGTGCTCGGCCGGACCCAGCAGTAGAAGGCGGTAGCCACGGCAGCTGCTACTGTCAGCAGCGTCAGAGATAGCGGCGGCGCGCGCGCGCGCGAACGGGAGAGACTAGAACAACAATAAATCGAGCTGCTCAAGAGGGATTCAAAAATAGAAACGCTAATTCCTGGAAACAATGTCGAGCGAGGCACCGGGAATGCAAGAAGAAAATTTGCAGGGTAAGCGAAATAAAAAGATCGCCAGTTTCAGGATTCCCTTAGCTATGGCCCTCAATTGGAAGTCGCACTGACCGGAAACAATACCCCTTCCTTTGCAGATCGTAAGCGCGGCTACTGGGGAGTCATGATCGCGTTGTTTTGAATTCAGGGATGGTCAGAGCAGGGGGAGGGTGCACAGCGGTGGTGGAAACTGATGAGCTACCGTATAGAGTGGCAACATTTCTGAGCAAGGATTCTAAGTCTTCCTTATTTCATGGGACTGGCAAGAAGTTGAATTTTCTATAAATGGAAGATAGGTTGTTTTTCTGTGTCTCACAGTAACAGCGTAACAGTCTTGGCAAGCTGAGAGCCAGCAGGCATTGCTTTAAATGGCCTGTAATGCTCCCACTTTTCAAATACCAGAACAGGCAAGTCCATGACAGCTTTACCAATATCGTTACTGTTCTCCATCTGTGCAGATTGTACCTTTGCTTACCTGATACATCGACTCTTTTCTGAGGCTTTGCATAGCATTTATATTTGTAAACAATTGACCTTTGGATATTACTGACACATGGTGCTTGTAAAGAGCTGATGTCATTGAATTTGTTGACTAGGGTATGCTGAGAAAAAGGAATATAAATTGCAGTATGAAAAGGAGTTTCTCTACCAACTTCAGTGGAATGTAGCCTGCACCTGAAATCACCTAAATGAGCAATACTGCTCTTTAATATTTTTAAGTTGTGTTTTTACCAAATATGGTGTCGACTGTAAGGTGGATTTGAAAGCATCTGTTAAGATTTTTCTTGTGGTGGTTGTCTAAGGGAAGCATTAATTTCCTGTTGAACTTGAAGAATTGTACCTACCCACCCCTTGATGAATTCATATTTATTCATTTATGTTTATTTAAAATATTCGTACACTACCCTTCATTATTGCCAATTGGGTAGTATGCATAATTAAATAAAGGTATAATCTTGTGCATGTTTAGACAGAAAAAGCAACTTCCAGTATTTCCCATCAGAGCCATTTTCTGTCTTAACATGCATAGAATTGCATTCTAAAATAAAATGCAAAGTTTAAAAAAATCTATTCTGCTAAAATTACAAATGGCTGGGTAAACAGATACATTTTTAACAAACTCTCTCAGAAATGGCACATGTCTCATGGAAGGGACAGAGAGAATTTCAAAGTCTGGTTACAGAAAAGGTGCTTCCCAGTTTGCTGGCTGATATACATGTTCAGGCAATGGAACCACAGGGAATCTTGATCAATGGGCAGGATGATGTGGGAAGTGTTCCTTCAGGAAGCCTGGTCCCAGATTTTTTCAGAGCCTTATTTGTCACTATCACTTTAAACCTGGTCCAGTAATAGATTGGCAGCCAGAATTTTCTTTGAGAAAAGTTGTGACATGCTCACAGTGGGCTTCCCCACTCAGCAATTTACCCACTGAAATTGGAACTAGTTGAAATTTCCAGGCTTTTCTCAAGGAAAGTCCCACAAAGAGTGTATTTTAGTAAACTAATCTTGAGGTTACAAAGTCATGGATCCCTATGACTGGACTACACTTATCCCGGACTAACGAAAACTGAAAAAAATCACTCCTAATCATTGAATCCACGTGAGCCCCCAGTATTTATTTATTTAATGCATTTCTATACTGCCCATAGTCAAAGCACTCAGTACAAAGATGATTGGAGGATGCTTGATAAATTAATTATGTGGATTAGTTTATGTCCCATTAACACACTGAGGCTACAATTACTTTGTGTACATTGTATTGCCCTCAGTGGGGCTTACTTCTGAAAAGAGAGATCAAGGATTATACTGTTAAGAAACTCACTTAACATGCAGTCATGCTGTATATGAATTGGATTGGGTTAGTTAGATCACATCAAAGCATTCTCTATATGTGATACTTTGCATACCCCAAAAGGCAAAGGACCACCCTTGCAGTCTATCTGCTAAGAGTTTGACATTAGTTTTTGTATAGTCATATTTGGACTTTCATTTTATCCATCCACTGCAACATAGCTGCTAATGTATATTCTCCAAAAGAGGTTTAAGGGAAGTAAGGTCTAACCTAGCAGTTACGATTGTGGAAGTTGCACAAAATGTGCTAATATCCCTTTGTACTGTTTGCATTACTTTAGGTTCTATCATACATGCATTTGTACTTGTTAACCTTGTATTTTTAGTGTATGTGTACATTCTCATTCTAGCTGGGTTTTCTAGTTCTAGCTAGATTTTCAATGAATTTTTGAAAGTGTATAATACTGTTAATACTGCTGGAAAAAGGGATAGAATTAGTGTGTAGTTCATGTTCTTGTGCAGTTTATGTTTACCATATCCAACCTGATTTCTGCTTTACACTCTTGAGAAACTTCTGTACCTTTGCAGAATATATCTGGCAGAAGTTCAACTATGGTCCCCCCCCCCACACACACACACACCACCACTACCACATGGAATTACAATTCTTGGGAAAGCTTCACTGGATTAGATTATTACCTGCCATGAATCTGTCAAAAACATCAGCTGGCAGCTCCTTGTTTATGCCCTGTGCATGACATCTGTTGGGTCTTGAATAACCTCAGTTTTGTTTTGTAACAGAATGTTTCACAACTTCTTTCAGTCTGTTTGTTTTTCAAAGTGACGCAGAGGGACTTATTTGTTCAGAGATATTATGTACTAGCAATATACAGATTACATATATATTACCTATTCATATCCTCAATCTGTTAACAAGGATAACTGAGGTTGTTTAGCATGTTCCCCTTCTTGTTCCCCTGCTTACCACTTGTCGTCTTGGGTTTTTGTTCTGTTGCTGAGCATCCTGAGAACTGTAGTTCCTAGAATCAGGCCACCAAAAGGGACAAGAAACAAACTTTCCTTGTATATATCACATGTACTTGTAGTGTAAACACTGGAAGCATATTGTATTGGGTTGGAGAAGGCTGAAATATAGAATTAAAAGCAAAGTATGAAGCAGCTGAGCACTTGCAGTGCTTAAACAAGAAGTGGAAAGAAAATAGAAATTAAAACTCATTTGCCAATATTTCCATCCAAAAAGCCCTACCATGTGTGAACAGTGCCACTTCCTCTCCAGTGGACTTGCCTTCCACTCTGAGAAAATTAGGTAATCAAGATAAGATGAGGCATAGAGTTGGATTGTATCAGTTATGGAATAAATGGGCCCAACCAGTTGTTTAGGTGTTGGCTGTACTTCCTGTTACTTAAGGGCAACTCCCGCATTCCATTCTGATTCCCTGTGCTTCAACCTGCTAGACCATTCCTTTCTGCGTGTCCTCCAGTTTAACTTGCAGAATTTCTAAAATGAATTTTGCATTGATTAAATCGTTTTGCAAAAAATAAATTCTAATGTACTTGCATAATCACATTAGTGATTTAATCAATGCTTATATATAGCACACACACCACATGGGTAATCTAAAAACCGATACAAACAACAGGCATGCACTAGTCTGAACCAAGTCCAGTTTTTTTTTTTTTTTACTGGCATTAGGATTGCCTGCTAATACATTGGTGCAATCTGGAAACACATCCAAGCAATTCAGAATTACAAATCTAGAGATAAATTCAGACAGAGATACTTTTAGATGCTTTGTATCTAATCTTTGAAAAGAAGCAGTTATAATGCACTAAAATACATGCACAGGCTTCTTGCAAAGTTTGTACACTGAAGGCTTTTGCATGTAGAAGTTAGATTGTCTGTGAAGTATGAGTGGAGTCGGGGTAGAGGAATAGGTTGAGTGCCATGGACTTTGCCCTATGATCCATAGGATGGGAGGGGGTGGAAACATATGCCTGTACACTCACAGTGACCCAAAGGCCTACATCTTTGCTATTAGAGTTGAGTTTTATTATTAACAGGCAGTCATCTGCAGACTGTCTGCTCACTTCCCGAAATGCAGTAAAGATGCATTTAAGCCAGACTTGGAACTGCTTGACTTAATCTAAAACTGTAATGTTTGTTTTGTCTTGAATACTCTGTAGGTTCCTGGGTTGAGTTGCACTTCAGCAGCAATGGGAACAGTCATAGTGCCCTGCCAGCAATCCAGGAACAAGCTCCAGCTTCTGTTTCCATTTACAATGGTGATATGGAAAAGATTCTTCTAGATGCCCAGCACGAGTCTGGCAGAAGTAGTTCACGGGAAAGCTCACACTGTGACAGGTACTCTGAAATAGATGGAATTTCCTCTTTTTCTTCTTTTTTTAAAGGGGAAAGCAACCTGGAGACTTCTGGATAGTTTGCACTAGAACTCTCATCAGTCCCAGCTAGTATGGCCAATTGTTGAGGATCATAGAAGATGCACTCCAAATCATCTGAGGGGAACCAGGTTGCCTATCCCTGTCCTACCATATATGTTTGAGCAGTCTTAGAATTTGCTCAGTTGATAAGACAATGCAATTAGATATCTTGTAGTCATTGACTACTTTCCGCCTGATTAGTCAATGTCCCTTCCTATTCTCTTTATCTATTTATTTAAATGAAGCTGGAACCCTCAGTGAAGAGAAATCTTCCAAGTCTCATGAATGGTTTGGGTGTACTGTTGAAAATTGTTTAGAAAGGAGGCCTCTGGGTAAGCTACTTTAAATCCTCTCAAAAGAAAAACATGGTTTTCAAGTGTAAGTATAATCTATATATCAGCCTTCCAGAATCTGATGCCCTTAGACAAGTGGTTTTCAACCTTTCCACAAAGGACCGGCAAAAACAGGAAAACCACCTTGGGGACCACTAAGGCAGAAACAAAAAGCACCATACACATAATATAGTATTCACTGTGTTAGTTGCCAAACATAATACCAAAACAAAAGAAAGAAAATTTTCCAAAACAAACAGAAACTGAGCAACAAAAAATGCCAACAAAAGAACAAAATACTGAAATCTGTGCAGCATGGCTCCCAGCCGACTCCCACTGAGCTGTCTCTCCCCTCCCTGCCCCACCCCCCATCCCAGCAGCACCAGCACACCCCTCCCCCCCATGATCGCAATGCCAATCAAGGAAGAGGTGGTAGAACACAGCCAGCCCCCACACTGGTCTGCAGCAAGTGGGATGCACCTCTCCCCGCACGGACCAGCAGGAAATCTCCGCAGACTGGCACTGGTCCATGGACTGGTGGTTGAAAATCACTGCCTTCGGCTATACCTGCTAGAATTCCTCTGCTGGCCATGCTTACCTGGAGATGTAGCCAGCATATCTGGAGGGCACCAAGCTGACCTCTGCTAGGATATGGTGGCGGTGACTATGATTACATTTATATCCTACCTTTCTTTCTCCTGTCAGGAACCAAAAGCCTGTTATATGATTCTTCTCCTTTCCATTTTATCCTCAGCTCTGAGGTTGGTTAGACAGTGAGTCAGTTGACTGACCCAAAGTCACTTAGTGAGCTTCATGGCTTCTCTCTGAGGTCAGTGACAATGGGGGGGTGGGGTGAAGTATATTGGTGAGCAGGGAGAAGAACCAAATTATGAGCTATCCTGAAGCTTCACCAGCCTCCTTCCTTTCTCCTGCAATTTAACCCTCTGCCTGTCATCCGGTGAACAGTACAGAGCAGAAGGAAAGGGAGGTGAAGATCACCTCTGCTGCCCCTTCCTTCCTGCAAGGGGTCTGTAAGCCCCCTGATTCAGAGGTTTTTATCATCAGAAGTACATTCCATAGGATTGCACTTTCATCCAGCTTTTGTTCCATTTCATCCTGCCAATCTTTAGATATATACATTGACCATATCTGATAAATGTTGGTAGCCTTCTCCTCTAAGCATCTCCAATAGACTTGAGACATTCATAATGGATACTGTAGGAAGAAGATGCGGAAAGTATTAAGTATGGAAATGTAATACTTCCTACTGTAATTAGTCTAACCATTGTTTAATTGATCCCTCTTTTTTTCTTCACAACAACCCTGAAAGGTAGTTCAGTCTGAGAGATGTCTGCCTTCCCCAATTTGACTGACAAATGGTGGGGGAGTCCAGTGGGGGTCCTAAGGTACCTCCTCTCCTCCTCAGTTTTCCTGCAGGAATCTCAGGGGACATGGCAAGAGCATTGAGGAAAGTGGGTATCACTGACAGCCCCTAAGTTGATTCATTAGTAGGCCTTACAAACTGTGGTGCAGGCTGTCAACCTTGATGCTGATCTTGGTGCCCATTTGGGGCAGAGGACAAGCCACCCTGTGATCATCTTTCTCTAGGGAAGGTCATGCAGAACATTCCTCCTGCCCTACCATCCAGTGCTGGTGGCCCAAAATGGCAGGCAGGGATAGTGGGAAAGAGAAGACCATGCCAGCCCCCCAGCCAGCCACTGCCCATCCTGGCATCAGCATCACCATGGTGGAGACTCTGACAGCAGCCATCTGGGAAATTTGGACACTCAGGGATGGCTGTTATCAGCATCACCCAGAGCCCCTTTGCAAGAGTGGCTAGGTTTTTGGTTGCTCTTACCAAGCAGTTCTGCAGCAGGTTTGGTCAGCTCTGGGACTGTTGCATTGTTTGGCTTCAGATGACACAAAAGCCCAGGTGTGGTTTATAAACCCTAGAAAATACTCAAGGATGTGGATAGCATGCTATGTCCCAAGCTATGCCCCAATGTCTTGGTAGACTGTGTGACCCAGTCAGAGACTGGCCCAAGGTTACCCACAGACTTTTGTGGTTCAGTGGGAATTTGAACTTGGATTCTATGGTTTTGATAAAGCAAAAAATTACAATTCTTGTTTCTTACTGGTTAATGGTCTATACTTCTCTTTATAAAGCCCTCCTCGTTCCCAAACACCTCAAGACATCCGCAGAGCTGCTGAAGTGGAGAGTCATGTTAGTGGAGAAAAGAGTAGTTCTCAGGTAATGCTTAGCCTTTCATAAAATTTCTGAGATAGAAAGGGACTTTCTGGCTTATCAAAAAGTTTAGTCAAGAAGTTACCAGTTGTCTTTCCCTTAATAAACCGCAGTGAGGTGAGGCAACGAGGCAGCAGCAGGCCTGGGGCTGGCGAGGCGGCAGCGGGCCCAGGGGTGTGAGGCAGTGGCGGCTTGCTCCCTTGGAGAAGGCCACACAGCCTGGCCGCCCCCGGACTCGCATGATTAAAAATAGATTTTAAAAAGGTATGTTTCTTACCTTCAGTCCTTTTTTAGTTTCTTCGTCTTTGTCTCTCTCTCTCTCTCTCTTCTGTTTCCTGCTCCGTATTCCCACTCTGTATATGCATGCAGTGGGGGAGGGGGGAGAGCCAGCACCCACTCGGTTGAGCTGTTGCAATTTGGGCATGCTCCGGCTCTCTCTCTGCTCCGTTTTAAAGAATGCCTGAGTGCAAGAGGGGAGTAATCCTAAAACCCCCACCAGACAAAGTTAGCTAGTCATGGAAATGTACTATTAGTCTATTTGGTGAAATACTAGTGATTTCTCAGGCTGTAAAACAGGTGTTTGCGGGCCTGTTGTAAGCCCAGGTGGATGCTTTCCACTTGCTGTTTCCCTGCACGATCACTGGGATTTCATAGAGCGTCACAAGGGGTCTCCTGAACCATCTAGTCTGACCCCTGACTCAAAACAGCTCTGTTCATGTAATCCCCAACATGTGGTGGTCCCTCACTGATGGAGCCTCAACCACCTCTCTTGGAAGCCCATTCCATACCCTAGGGGTCCTAACTGTCAAGAAGTACTTCCTGACATCCAACCTGAAGCCTGGTTCCTTGAGCTTTACCTCATTGTAACGCTTCCCACCCTCCACTGCAGGGAAGAACAGGTCATGGCCCTCCTTCACACGGTATCTCCTCACATACATATAAGTTGTTAAAAGATCCCCTCAGTGTCTCCTCTTCTCCAGGCTGAAAGGACCCAGTTCCCTCAATCTTTCCTCATTTGTCATCCCTCCCAACCTGGCTACCATTCTTGCATTTCACTGAACTGATTCTAACCTGGCTATATCCTATGTCTTTCCTATAATGTGAAGCCCAGAACTGGATGCAGTACTCCAGTTGTGGGTGCACCAGAGTTGTGTAGAGCAGTATCAACACCTCTCTTGATTTGGAAGCCACACTTGTGGCTATACTTCCAAGGGTGGCATTTGCCCTCTTAACTACCACATCACACTGCTGGCTCATGTTCAGCCTGCTGTCTACAAGTACCTTGAGATCACTTTCACAAGTGCTGCTCTCCAGCCACTTGTCCCCCATCCTGCACAAGTGACATCTATTCCTGTGTCCCAAGTGCAAGATCTTGCACTTAGCCATATTGAATGCCATCCTGTCGTACCCCACCCACTTCCACACCCTGTCCAGATACTTCTGGATTTGGATCACCACTTCCTCAGTTGTGGCCACCACCCCCACTTTGGTATCATCCGTGAATTTAGTCAGCAGACTGGTTATCCCCTCTTCAAGGTCATCGATAAAAAAGGTTGAATAGACTTGGTCCCAGAACAAATGACCTACCACTCATCCCTGTTCCCCTGATCTCAAAGCATAGGATGGAGTGGTCACTCACATCCAGAGCTCCCCTGATCTGCACATAGAATCATAGAATAGAGGAGGTGGAAGGGGCCATGAAGGCCATCAGTTCCAACCTCCTGGTGTTGCAGGACACCAGTTTATACCATCCCACTCAGATGGCTGTCTAGATTCTTTTTGAATGTCTTTAGTGTGGGAGAGCCCAGCACCTCTCTAGACAGCTTGTTCCACTGCTGTATTGCTCTGACAGTGAGGAAGTTTTTCCTGATGTCCAGCCTGAATCTGGGTTGTCACAACTTGAATTGATTATTCCGTGTCATACACTCTGGTATCAGCAAAAAGAGCTCTTGACCTTCCTCTTTATGACAGCTTTTGAGGTACAGTAGATCAAGTGGGAGCACAACAGCTGTAATGAATACAGCACACAACATGTATTCTGTTAAATTTGAAACATGTATATGCATAGAATTAGACATGTCTCTCTTTTGGCCAGCACTACTTTTTAAAAAAAGAAGACGACAACAACAAATTGTATCTGCAAAGTGATGAATCTGGCTATGCATATGATCTGCAACCCAAGCTTGAATTGCCCTATGGAGATATAGCCTAAAGCAACTTTCCTTAGGAGTACCAAACAGTACCATTTACAGAATAACAGCATTTGGTCATGATGCAAAATTTGAATGCCTCAAGTATGACTGGGCCTTTTCCGTTATTTTCTGTGCAGCAAATTGCAGTCATAGATCCATGTCTTTGTTTGCTGATTGTAACTTGTGGATCATGTTTAGTGTATATTGTAAATCTGATAATGTCTGACTAGATTTCTACTCTTTCAGTCAGAAGAAGATTTTCTAGAAAGAAGGAAAGAAGTTGAACAGCTTTTGAAGAAAAGCTCAGATTGGATGTGGGATTGGTCCAGTAGGCCTGAGAACATTCCACCCAAGTAAGTGTCTTTGTAAAGATCCTGTAAGCTGTTGCCTGTATGCTAAATGGGTGACACACATTTAGAGAGATGATTCTCTTGTCTTCTTGCATACCAGGGAATTTCTGTTTAAACACCCTAAGCGCACAACTACCCTCAGCATGAGAAACACAAGCATGATGAAGAAAGGGGGAATATTTTCTGCAGAATTTTTGAAGGTTTTTCTACCATCTCTGCTGCTGTCCCACCTGCTTGCTATTGGGCTAGGGTAAGGATTTATTATGTTAATCATTTATGGGAGTGCTGGGGCAGAAGTTTTGTATGTTATGGCAGGATGCAGTAATGTTAGTCAGGCTCTGCTCATCAGCTCAGGCAGAAAATCAAAAGAGTAACATAAGATTGCATGTGTGTCATCTTCTTGTAAGAAAGGTATGGCTAACTTTGGCACTACAAATGGTTTGACTTTCAACTCCCATGATCATTCACCATTGGCTATGCTGGCTAGGGCTGATGGCAGTTGTAGACCAAAAAAAAAAAAAAAATCTAGATGGTCACAAGTTGCCCTCCCATCTTGTAAGGAAGTGTAATAAAATAACCTGTTCTTCAAATAATTTTGCCTTGTACAAATGTTAGCTAGTAAATTCAGCTTCTGTTTTTCTTTTACTGAACTCTGTGTAAAGTTTTCCAGGAGGCCTTTCAGTAGACACTGACCAAAGTCAGTTCTGCTTAATGTTAGTGTGGTCGCAGCATTATATGGCTTCAGACCATGCAAGGACCAAGTAAGCATGCTCACCGTGAGAGAAAGTCTTCTGATTTGTCTTGTGTTACAGGAGAATCCCAAGCTATGGAATGAGTGGAGAGTACCTTCCAGCAGCATAAGTTTTGTCAGAATGTTATCCATCTATCTTGCTCAAATATGGATTCATGGACTGATTCCTATAACGATAAGGACTTTGCAGTAGCATTTATAAAACCAGGGTAAATTGCTCCACTCTGAGTGAAGGCAAGAACAAAAATGAGATGAATGGCCTCTAGGAAGAGGTGTGAAATTAATCAATTTTCAGGAATCAAAATGTTCTGAACTAAAATCACTTCCTTTGGAGCTTAATTAGCAGAGAATCTAGCATGTAAAGCAGGAGGTCACAGATTCAGCATGCCAATGGGGGGATCTTTTTCTCTCTCTCCCTCAACATACTTTGGAGGCTGCATACTTTAAGATGTGCTGCTTAAGACTAACAGCACAGATTTTTCTACATTGTATCAGACTTTATGTTATTTTCATAATAGGATAATTGGTTTTCCTGGGAAAAGAAAGGAAAACCAGTATTTCCTTCTACTCTTATATTTACTTTCCCTACGATAATGGAAATGAAAGCAGCAATCTTACACCCATTTAGCTTATAATAAGCCCCATTGAACTTAGTGCAACTTACTATTGAGTGGAAATGCAGAAGATTGTGGTGTAAGCCTCTTAGAGTACAATCCTACCTATGGCATCCCAACATTGTATAGGAGGCTGTAGGATTATTTAGAATCTGCAAGATCAAAGGATAAGCCCCTGCCTCACTCCCTCACAGCTGGTTCAGAAAGAAAAGCACCAGCTATCCCCCACACATACCCTGGTTTGAAACTAGGCCTTGGAGTCTGGGTGGCTAGGGCCACAAACCAATTCCTGTCAGCATCCCAGCCCTGTTTCCCTCCCTGGCACTAAATCTAGACGGTCAAACAAGTAAGGCTGCTTACCTGTAACTGATGTTCTTCAAGTGGTCATCTGTGCATTTACACATATGGGTGCTGCTCCTGCATAGGGCCTGTTGATGGGAAGGTCCCTTTAGTATATAAACGTGGGTCTTCCACCTTTTTCCCCAGTTCTCATGAGACCACCATTTTGGCCTAGGACCTGGGGAGGAACAGCTGGTCACAGCCCCACCCACACCATCCCTATACAAGTGCTGAGGAAAAGAAGCTGCAGTAACAGGCTATCAACACCACCGTGGGGTCAATGGGTGGGTTGTGTGAATGCATAGATGACCGCTTGAAGAATGTCAGTTACAGGTAAGAAACTTTACTTTCTTCTTCATAGTCTCTGTGTATCACACATATGGGTGATTAGCAAGCTTCCCTTGAAATGGAGGAGGGCTGGTGTCATTGGCAGAGGACCAACAAGGGCACCACTCAGCTGAAAAGAATAATTACCAGGTATACATATTGAACCAGCAACGCTGGATAAAGGTTGATGGGTGGACCATATCACTGGTCTGTGGAAAAGCTACAGAGGGATACTGGTGTGCAGTGCTGTAGACATTGCCATTGCTACATTGGATGTGCCCTCAGTTGCTCAGGGAGTTGTAGTCCAGACAGCTGGTAGGCCAGTGTGACCATCTTGACAACTCAGTGTGCAGCCCATTGAAAGTTGATCAGCCTACCTCTGTACTGTCCAACGTATGCAACAAAGAGTGTGTGGGACCACTGGAAGAATTCAGTATGGTACTGAAAGAACATCAATACCCTGCACATGTCCAGGATATATACACCAGGTTGGATGGAGTGAAGGAGAAGAATGGGAAGCAGATGTTTGGCCACTACATGAAAAAGCTCCTTAGGAGAACTTTAAAACATATGGGGGAGGGAGGGAGATGTGCAGCATGGCATACCATCACCTGGCAAAGACATATATTTCAACAGAGGAAAAACCTCAAGCAAGGCCCAGCACCACTCCCTCAAAAAATAGGAAGAAAACCAGGGCACAGCGAGAATGAACTTTGATATCTCTACACCAGTGCCCAGAGTATGGGAAACAAACCACATGAACTTGAGCTCATGGAACTCAGTGGCCCCATTGAAAGCATCTGGCTAAATTTAAAAGAAGAAAACAACAACAACAACAAAAACCACCAAACAAAACTCCATAGTTATTAGTGTCTATTACCGACCACCCAGTTAAAAAGAAGACAAGGATGCAATCTTTGAAAAGCAACTTGAGAGTATTTCCAAGAATGACGTAGTTGTGGGGGACTTCAGTTTCCTTGATATATGCTGGGAGGCAAATTCTGCCAAGCATGGCCCCTCCAAGAGATTCCTGACATGTGTTGCCAACAACATTCTCCAGCAGAAAGCAGAAGAAGATACCAGAGTATCAGCTATCCTAAATATAATACTAACTAACAGGGATGTCCTGGTGGACAAAATAGCAGGCATGGGATCTCTGGGGGAAAGTGACCATGTGATACTTGAATTTTCAATTATAAAGGAGACAAAGGGTAACTGGAGCCAAACAAGCATCCTGGACTTCAAGATAGCCAACTTTAACGAACTCAGAAAAATAAGGCAAGTGCTGTGGCAAGATACCCTTAAGGGGAAAGGTGACCAAGAGGGATGGGAAATCTGGAAAAAGAAGATTCTTCAAGCACAATTGTGAAGAATTCCATCAAGAAAAAAGTGTAGAAGACAGCAGAGGAAGCCCACGTGGCTACCCAAAAATTAAGTGACAGTCTGAAAGAAAAAAACATGTACAGGAAGTGGAAGCAGGGCCAAGCCACAAAAGAAGAATATAAACACATAGCGAGGAATTGCAGGATGGCATGGGTGGGATGGTTGGTGGAGCTCTGGTAGCCACCAATGGATGGCGGGAGAAAAGAGCTGCCCAAAAGGTGGGAGTATGCTCTGCTGGCAGCAGCAAGGCCTAGTCAGCAGTCATAAGAGCACAGCTCCACAATCTAGCTTTAAGTCAGCCCACTCAGTTCTTCAGGCCTCAGTTGGTCCTCTCCCAGGCAAGAGGTACAGGTGGGGAATGTCTGTGGAAGGAAGATGTCTTCCACAGTGAACACATTTCCTAACAGACACTTTGAAAGTCATCAGGGAGAGAGAGGAAGGGTAAGACAAAAAGATAGATCCAAAAAGGTCAATAATAGGTATTGTTTTTAGAGATATTACTATAATTTTATATTTATTTACAATAAAGATTGTAAAAGTGAAAATGAGCAAAGGTGAGAGTTTTGAAAGAAGTAGATTTTAAAAGGAGCTGTGGTACAAAAGAAGAAGCTAGCTATGCTCAAATCAATAGGTAGAATTTTCATTGGTTAAATCATGCAATCACTGACACATAACCAGGCCTGAGAAAAACCCTCTTTTCTAGAAAGTAGCCTGTGTGCATCCTTGAAATGTAGCTGACACTGACCAGGCAACAGTCCAGAGAAAGCTAGTTAGTTAGCACTTGACAGATAACAGCAGCTCAATCAAAGGGCAATTCACATCAGCCCACCCCTTCCTTCTCCTCTTCTATGTAATAGCACCCTCTCCTCACCCCTCCTTCAGAGCATCTTCTTTGGTATTGCAAGTGGAAAAGATCATGCCCATGTAACTTTTTTACTTCTGTAACCTATTGGAAAGTGTTAACTGTTTTGCATGTTTAATAATCTATGCACCCTTTAATAATCTATGTGTAAAAGGCCAACTGAGGACTGCTCAGGTGTGCCATCTGGAACAATTTTTTAGTAGCCAGTTATTCTAGAGAACAAATCCTTTAAAAAGAAAACCTTCCTTTGTTGTGTATTTTGGGCATATGCACACCAGGACACAGACCTTTTGGTCAACATGAGAAACAGACCCAAGGTACCCAAACTGGTGGTTGGAAAAGAACTGGGGAAATGGTGGGAGCCCTGCCTTTATATAAGAAGGAGGGGAGGAGCTCATGCCAAAGCGAGCTTAGCTAGGAAAATCTTCCTGACAGCAGACCCTGCACAGGCAGAGCCCATGTGTGTGATGCACAGAGACCATGAAGAACAACTGTCTAGAAAAAATACCCATCCTGAGGTGTGATGGCAGAGATTGCTGCCATGTTTTGTTCAAGGCATAGGATCAAGGGCATTGGAGTAGGATTGTGCCTTTAGCACCCCATGTTTATCTGGAAGTAAGTCCCATGTTCAATTAGTTAAGTATAGGATCACTTCCTTCACAATGTTCTTCTATTGAAGCATCTTAGGTTGCAGAAGGTAACAGGTAGCAACTGTGACCTCCTATCCAATATATGAAGCACCAGTTCTGACTTTCTAGCAATTAAGGCTCATTTTAGTCCAATACATGTAAGCAGACTAAACCATACCTTTTCAAATCTTCATTTATTCATTTTTAGGATTTCTTTGGTTTAGCTTTAGCAAAGTCTTGGGCAAAGTTCCAAGCTATTGAAAATAAATGTCTGCTGGGGTTCTTTCAAGCATTGCAGGTAAGTCCAAAGATGTTCTCTGACCACAAAAACAGAGATTTTGGGCCCCAAAAGAGCTACGTTTTGCATGATGACAAAAAATGTCCTTTTGTAGTTGCCTAGAGACAGTCCCTCCTTATTGCATCTTGAGACTTTCAAGCTTATGGCAGTTTGAAAGTCTACATCATTTGTAGCATCAGGCTCTGACAGCGTTTATCTTATGTGGCTAGTAGTCAAGACAAGAAGAAAAAAAGGCAATCTATTCCTAGTTCAAATTAAGCACTTGATTTGTGTTTTAGGATTTATATTGGAAGACGGTTGACGCCCATGGCTTCCAGCAGCTCTTTGTAAGAGTGGGAATGTATCTTTCTTGTGAAAATGTGACAGCGTTCATCCAGGCATGCAAGATGGCAAACAAAGGAACTCCCGAGTGAACAGTGACTTTGGTTATGTATGTTTTGTTCTTTAAATGTTGTCCTCCTAGTTCCATTGTAAAGTGGAAAGATGAAAACCAAAGCCAAGCAGTTCTTATATGTAAACTCATTTTTGTTCAACATAAGCAAAGTTTAGATGAAAGGAAGCTTCTTTTAAAAAAAGAATGGAATAAAAAATGCAATGTCTGTAGTGAAGGTTATGTAGCAATGAATTAATCTGTGTTTCTTCCTTTTGAGTCTGTGAAGATATTAGTTGGGGTTGCTCTTAGTAATACTTCATGGGGGCTCCAGGGTATTGTGGCCTTACATTTCTGAAAAATGCCAGCTTTTTACTTGATGTGAAGTGACTTTATAATTGACTTTAAGATTTAACTACGAATTCTAAATAGTTTTATGTGCTTTAGAATGGGATCTTTCTCATATGTTGTTCAGTTAATATTTATACACTATGTAACTCTTCAAAATGGTGTAACTATGCTTGAGTTTAACACAGATTGATTATACAAATGCTGAAATAAAGATTACCCAGGTTTCCCTCAAATCCAAATTAAATTGTGGATAACTAGAAAACTTTTGAAGTATGGGTATGAAAAATCACATCAGCATCCCACTGAGCCAAGGCTTCCATATGACAAGCTCACGAAGGGAGCAAGATGGCAATTTCATTCCATCTTTCCTCACAGTTGGTAAACAAGAGTTTCATGCCTCTGAATGTGGAGCATGTTACCAGTTCTCATGACTCAGTCCATGGTCACGGATAATGAGTGGATGTATCTTTTTTGGCACATGCTATTGACTCGCTGAATTTTTAGCTGCTCATCATAGATAATAAATCTCACTCAGTTGAGTGAGTGGGTGGGATGCTGAAAATAGAATGGAGTGTTCCTCATGGGCATTTCAGTGCCCCACTTCATGCTGGGCATGGAGAAAGGGAAGCCTTCTGCTTCCTGCCTCTGCAACAATCTTCTTGATTGCTATGCAGGGCATCAAGTGCTTAACAGCCCACTGCATTTCCATACAGGTAAGGCAGGAAGTTAAACTTGCAGGTATGTCCACCAAAAAAATAATACAGTGGAGGGAAGGAGTGCTTTGCCCTGCTCTACACACACGAATGCAACAGCTTGCTGGCCTTATATTCTAAAGCTACTAGAGCTATAGCAGACTAGCCTCTTATGGAGGTAGCACAGAAACACAGTAGGTCAGGGGGCAGAGCAGTCTGGGTCTCTACTGGGATGCTGGACATACAGGAACTGGGAAGTGCTTGTTGCTAGCCTGCAAAAAGTTTTGTACTCCTGCGTTTCACTGGTAGGAGGAGCTGCAAAGGAGTGGCTGAGAAGCCTGTCCAGCCTTTACCAGCCCTTCTTTTGAATAAAATGCACAGGAGTGTAGAAATTCAATAGAGACTGGGAGCCTTCCAGAGTGAAATTACAAGATTGCTTTTGCCCATCCCTTGGTTCTAGGTTTTGGTAACGACAGTTTTAACTATCTTCCCCGTCATATTTTACACAAGGGTAAGCTTGTGCTGAAAATTATTTGCAGCACTTACATTTTACTTACTAGTAAATAAGTAATAGATTCAGAGGGATATATAGTGTGGCAACCTTAATTTTAGATTGGAGAACAGTACATTTCTTTTGTAATTTTAAGGCTATACACTGTTTCTACACTCCTCTTGTTCATCTTATCTGTGCATCACACACATATGGGGCTTTGCCATGCAGGGCAAGGCACAGATCTGAGAAACTTCCAAAATTCAGCTTCATGGAGTGGGTGGGAGCCCTGTCCCACCTCTTCCAGAGGTACACATAAAAGGAAAGGGCTCCAACTCAGTCCCTCAGTTTCTTTATGACCGCACATGGAGTTGATTCACCAATCGGATCCTCTGCTGCTCTAGCTCTCAATCCATCTGCTTACTCTCTCTCGTAAAAAAAAAAAAAAAATCAATAAAATAGTTTTCCTAGCTTTTCTCTGAAATTCTCTGCTATTCCTCTGCTCCGAGGTCGTTTCTTTGTTGCTTCCTCATTGCCTGCAAGGAAGGAAAACAAAGATTTACTCTTCTTCCCACTGAGGACGGCCACTCCCGCTGCCTCCTCTGCTGTGGTGAGGGGCACATTGCACTGCCAGGCTTTTAAAAAGCAGACTTGCCAGCAGCAGACAGTTCACCTCAAATACGCTCTGTAGCAACATGCCCCGAGTGTTGCAGACCCATCAAAATTGGAGACTGAGAAACTCCCATCCACTGAGAAAACCACTCAGCCAGCTGCTGAGAAGGGAAGGGCCACTGCCACAGCCCCAGAGCAGCCTCCAGGGGCCTTGGCCACCCCCAAACACAATGGGCACCATGCCAACAAGTCTTGCACCATCAGCCACATTGCCGCTTGATGACCGCCCGTGCACTGTGGATCCTGGGGTACCCCTGGATGGAATCCCCACAGACCATGAGCTGGGCTCTCACACCAATCATGCCAGAACACTGATCAGAGCTCCTGCGCCACCATGCGACTCACCTACATGCAGCCTGTTGCCTGTGCCTCCTGCTTTGTCTGGCCACCACTTCTCTCACTGCCTCCAACTGCGGCTCAGGGCCTAGCCACTGGAGGACTCCGTGGATCACCCTGCTCCTCTTTTCCAGATTGGGATGGCTTGTCGTCATGGTCGCCAGTGTCCACACACTCAGCAGACTGGTCCGACTCTCCAGACCCACCCGCATTGGACCCAGGTCAATGTCGATGGCACCACTCAAGAGTGAGAGGATCCTGACTTGTCCAACACCACTTCTGTATGCCTGGACTGCCCCAGATCCACTGCTCTGTGCCACTGCCACCACCACTGCCATCTCAACCACCATGGCCATGATTAAGAAAAACCAGCTTGAAAATACAATTGTCTTTATTATCTTTCATCTGGCGTGTAAAATGACCTCCAATGTTTGCTTATTTCCAGTTTCAAGAGTTGTCTTATACACTGGTATATATGGTATGCAAAGATTACCCCATTCCATCTGTCCTGACTGCAACAGATGTAATCCAGTATCATCTGGAGTGTCTTAAGTTGAAGAAAGCTGATTTAAGGAATTCCCCATTCACTTAAGTAGCTACATGTGCACAGAATATACAGGCAGGGCTCTCTTCTATTAAGATGTATCTGCTCCACTTGCTTTCCTAAAAATGCATTGGGACTCACCTGGATTTCCAGACAGACTGAATCAGATTCACTTTGAGTACCTGAGGCACATCTAAAACAGAGCCATGTATCAGTTGCAAATAGAGTTTCATTACTCCTGATCTAGCAAAAGAAGCTAACTACTGAGGCAATATTGTTGAAGTTGCTTGTTTCTCCAATAGACATTCTGCAATCACATAGGTACTGCATACAGACCTCACAGATGTAATGGGAGACTGTACAATGATTGTTAGAACAGTGTTACCAACTATCATGTCAAACAAATGTAAGGCACCCACAATTTTATTTTCTGGTTGAGACCCTATTAAATATTTCACTGAAAGTTTATTTTAGTTGTAGCATACAAAATTAATAAAGGAAATAGATAGTGTTTTGCCACTTTTGTAGTAAATATCGATAGTGGAGAAATGTATGAATAATGAACTTTAAGGGGATTATTTTCAAGGTGGGACTTGAGTGTCCATTGTTAAGACAGACTTGCTAGCTCAGAAAATAAAGGACTCGGGCTTGATAAGCATTTGTAACATTATACTGTTGTTGTAAGCAGATGCATCACAACCAGTGTTCAGTCAGATGGCCTGATTAAAGCACATACATGAAGTTCCCCACTCAAACTTCCCTGGAAAGTCATCAATGCCCTTAGAAAAATTTAAGATTTTTATTTACTCCCACTCACTGGTAGTGTACCATTATATACACAAGAACTTCACATTGTTTGCTGTGTGAAGCAAACCCTTTTAATATAGACACATGTTTAGAATTTACTCATTTTAATGTGATCAGTTGGAAAATGCTTTTGGCTTATACAGCCAATATATGCTAAAATACGGAATGTTAATATTCAAATTTTGATATACCTTGTCAACTCAGTTTTGTCATGGTGGTGTGAAAACATGCAACTCTATTTGGACCCTCAGAGTAAAAGCCAGTTACGGTTTCCCATTGCCAGAACTGCTTACATTAGCAGAACCAGGAAAAAAGCAATTCCCCTCCTGAAGAGATCTCCCCAGAACCAGATTTTCATGGTGCGGTGGGGGCTTTAGTGTTCAGTGCTGGGACTGCATGACGTTGCTTTCAACTCAAATGTTTCCTTCTAAACAACCAAAAGGGCTGAAACACCAGTGTAATATTTTCGCTGGATTTGCTGACATGATCAAACAAATACTTGTTTTAACATCACCACATACATGAACAGTACTAGTCAATTTGTGATATATACTTCATACCAAGAATAAGCCAGGTCTAAAATCTGAATATAAACCAATTTTCTTGTAGAATAATATGCAAACACAAGCTACTCTTGACATGTATTGCTCCATGTAACCTGACCCATGCATCCCGTCCCCCACAAAAAAGCTACCCTTCAAGACATCCATGGCATGAGTTTAAGGTCAAAAGCAACTTGGATAGTAACTGACCGCTAAGAAAAATTGCATAACGCAATTTCAATGCACTAGGCACTCTCAGACATCAACTAAACTATGGCCCAAGGTTTACGTTGAGAAAATATGCAGTATTACAAGCTGGTTCTACTGAGAAAAAGAACTATTACCAAATTTCATTACAATTACTTCATGGCTAGGTTTTTTGGTACCAAGACTAAAAACACTCAACTTTTCTTGACCAAATAATACTAGCTCCATATTTCATTATTCCTGCAATGGCACCGAAGTCAAGATTTGATAGATTTGGTATGAGTAGTTTGCTTTATCCTTTTGGAAAAAGTGGCAAATTATAAAATATATATCCCATGATAAGTCAGGTGAAACTTATATATTTACCAGTCAAGATTACATGAAAAGGTTGCCAATCCTTACTATCTATGATTGTAACCACTGGCCTTGTATTCAGAAAGTGAATTTAACCAGTGCTTATGGAATCCTGCAAACTTCTAGAGTTTGAAATGCATGCAGTTACCCATGTAAACAAAATTAACCTTTCTATATCACTATTAAGAGTTTTGAAACAATAATTTTGAAATAAGGAATCTTGCTGCATTGTAAAAATATATATTATGGCATAAGATATTGTAGGCTGGAGCTCATTTCAAATGCATGTAATGGTCACCATGGGTACAAGGATTAAAGACAACCAAGTGAGGCATCAAGTCTAAACCTTGTTAATGAAAGAGATGCATCACATTCCTATGCAGAATACAAATGGAATACAAATTGCAGAATACAAATATAAAGCCCAGACTGGATGTGATCTTCAACTAGCAGCCACTGGGCTAGACTGGTATCACAAGATATAGATTAAATACATCAAAAGACAGTTTTGGACAACTCAGGTGAAATTCCAGGGAGAAAAAGTACATTGAAAAAGTTTCAAAGTACACAGAGCAAGTTCAGGTAAACATTTAAA